GATCCAGCAGTCGTCTGCGCGGGTGCCATGGCCGGCGCGATCGCGGCGACGGTCACGACACCCTTCGACGTGGTCAAGACGCTGCAGCAGGTCGACGGCAGCCTGAACCTCTCGACGACGCAAGTGCTGCGTCGGCTCGTGCGGACGCAAGGCCCGGCGGCTGTCATGACGGGGCTCAGCGCGCGCTTGGCCAAGATCGTGCCCTCGTGTGCCATCATGATTTCGAGCTACGAGGTCGGGAAGCGGTACCTTGGCCTTGACAACTGAGCCACCGCTCGCTCGTCCTCTTGTAGTTTAAAATGCCCGTCTTATAATTATCTATTCCGTTTCCTCTTTTCGAAATGCGATGGAGGAGGAGGAGACGGCGCCGACTTGGGTGCGACTTGCAGTAGTAGCCCGAACCAGGCACGGCCGCACTGAGTCGCGTCGACGCTTTCCCGTCACTTGGCAATGTCGGACGCGAGAATCTGGGTCCAAGCAGAGTACCTTTTGACAGAAACTGGTCGCTGGTGCTGCCACGAAACGGTCTGGCATCACGGAAGCTGCTCCCATGGGTACTGCCATCCGCGCCGCCATCCATTCCAAGACATGTACTGTTAATACCAAATATTACATGCAGAGGTGTGCAGCGAGGGTGCTAGAAGAGGACACTGCTATCCGCTCTGCAAATGGCGTAGTCTCCGCGGGGCGACTCGACATTGGTTTTCCAATTTCCTCGCATTGGGTTGGTTTCATCTTTTTATTTATGGGAGGAATGCCGCACGTCAGCCGGCATCTCGTCGGACACTTCAAGGATGCAAATTGCGTGCACATTTATGAGTCGACCAGGTCGCTGTAGCCAAGTAGCTCGCGGGTCGGACACAGGGTATTACTAGTATGTAGCAGTTGCCCTGGCCGGACACGGCGCGGGAAGGCCCGATGACTGCCTTGGATGCAATCCAGTTGATTGACGCTCCCTTGTACGATCAATCGGCAGGTGTCGACGTCATCACGCACGGAGCCTCGTCCGCGGAGAATACATCCTATTGTTGCGCTCCTTCGCTCTCGTGCAGCAGAAGAGATCTTTGGAACGTGTGGGATGCGTGGTCCACAGCCGAAAGACAGGCGATGTTCCACATTAATACAAGTAGATTTCAATTCCATCATACACTATTTGTATCTTACGGGTAATACTGTTCAATGCTACCTGTCCCGAGTCGGCGTGGCCGCTTGCGTGCGCGGCGCTTCAGAAGTCTTGTTGATGCTGTCTGCAACTGGAACTCTCACGAAAAGCGCGCACCAATCTGCAGCGCGACTTGGACCGACCCCCGCAGCTGCGAACGACGTGTCGGTACCGTACCCGGTACCTCGATCGCACACGATTTCAAGGTTGTAATCATGCGAAATAGTGTATGTCGACGAGGACAGAGTTCGTTGAAGGCAACGAAAAAAGGTGGCTTGCCGCCGCCGCCGTGCAAGAGCCACGTCGTCGACAACGATGCACGTGCAGTAGCCGCGGCTTTCATTCCGTTGGTTGGGTGCCCGCGTCGAGGGGTCATTCATTCTACACAGTACGCTAATAGTGCAATCTCGCCATGATCTGAGTTTGCCGCGTCGGTTCAGTGCAAAGTGTCAAGCGTCAGCAGCGCCGTCGTCAGCCCCGCTGCACGTGGCGCCTTTGCGGGCGCTCGGCGAAGAATACATGCGCTTTTCAGCTGATATCTTTTTCGAGAGCGAAGAGCCAGGGCTAGAATAATGACTGGCGGCTCGGCGTTGTTGTGCGCAAGCGTCATACATTTACCCATGCGACTGGCTTGCTTGTATGGGACAGCGCGCGCAAATTTAGCGCTCGCTGTTCACATACCACTAGTACTTGGTACAGAGGGGCATCTTGTTCGTAGAACCAAACACGAACGCGCGGCTTCGTGTTTCTGGCGGCGCGCGCCCATCACACTCGCTGGTGGACGTTGAAATCGCTGCAAAAGATCCTGAAATGCGTCGGGCCATTTTTTGACGTCGTGGTGTCATCCGCGCACCAACCACTTGGCGTTTGTATGGCATCGCCTCCTAAAAGAATAAAAAGCTCGTAGAAGACGGACCGCATTCGTGGCGTAATTGTAGCATCGCGACACGCCAATTGAAGTCTGGGCGACCACGGATTTGAGCCAATCAGAGGGACCAAGCGCCCACTGACGCGACTCCGACTGTCGCCAGCGCCCGTGTAACATTAGTTCACCGCAGGAAGCGCGGCGAGGTCAGTTGCATTTCGTGGCCCACGCGCATAGTTCGAAGATGAGTGTGTTTCAGTTCTGGAAGCACGACGTGACATCGCTCTGCGCCTCGCTGCATGAGCTCCTCAATGACGTGGCGACGCCAGACGAGAGCGACGGCAGCGACGACGAGGACGAGCCCCAAACCGACGTCATCAATGGCCGCGTCGAGCGCCTCGTCGCTAAGCTGCGCCACGTCTTTTATGGCACATTGGACCGACCGGTCAAGGAGGAGGACTGCAAGCAAGTCGCCGAGATGCTCTCGCGCTCGCATGTCATGGCGCGCCTCGTGACGCCGTCGCTCCTGTCGCAGCTCTCGTTTGAGACGCGCAAGTCGGTGGCCGCGCTCTTCCGCGCCCTCGTGCGCCGCGACCAAGCATCGAGCATCGTCTGCGACGTGGCCCTCATGACGCGCCTCACGCAAGGCTACACGGCGTCGACCGACACG